GCTTCTTTTTTAAAGCGAATGATTGCTTTTAATGTTTGCACTGATTTAGTTGCATGATTAGTCAAAAACTGCCATTTGAAAAAAAATGTTATTTTTATAGCAGCAAAAAATGAATACAGTTAAATGTATTATACAGAAATTTTGGAACCAAAGAGGCCAACATATTAGTTATAATTTTTATGAGATGGCAAAGCCATCATATATCATGTAGTCATACTGAGCAATCCCTCACGAGGCCTACCAATTGTTTCAGGGTACAAAATGGATTCTGTTTGTTCTATTCAGTGTCTTTTCTATACCATACGCACATGGAATGTAGAGTGAAAAAAAAGTGACTATTGTAGAATACATTACAATATGTGCATCCTTTAAATCCAATTTTTATGTTTATTTAATAAAGTTCCTTTTAGGTTCTGTTCCATAATAATTTAAACCAAACAATTTTCACTTAGATTTGCTGTTGAAGTATTTTACATTTGTGTACAGTTTAAATAAATAAAAAAGATTGAAAACTGGATGTGCTTTTTTTTTTTTTTTTTTTTCAGTGTGTAACATCTGGAGGAACTTGCTTACTTTCGGGACTGAATAGGCTGCAGACGGTGAACTGTCGCATTAGACCGTAGTCGTATTAGTCATTGCAGAAAGCCTTGTCTGAGAGCTCAGCTGCGATCCTAAAAATGTTACACTCCAGTTTTATTGCTGTCTATAGATGTAAGCATCTGCTTCTTTCTCTCTGCAGCAGTGCAGGGGCTCTGGGCGCAGGAACGGCGCTGTTCCGCATACCTGCAGGTCATTTACAGCGAGTTCCTGGTTCACCTGCTGTGTAAGAATGTAACTTCTTCTCTGGGTCACTCCCTGACTGCTTAGAAGAAGTAAAAAAAAGGAAAAAAAATGTGGAAAGCACTTCCAGGAATAAAGGACCAATAGTAAGTTTAATTAATTTTTTTTTTCCAAAACTAGCTGACACTAAGAAAAGGGTTTTGTTTTTTTTTTTCTTTTTAGTAAAATAACTCCCTTTTACTAATAAGCCCTCAAAAATGGTGAGAAATACTCAAGTACTCAGCTGCACATATATCCAGATATTGATTTAACTGATTTTCACAGATAAATTCTTCCTCCTGGAGACCTGAGCAAATGCCAGCTGAAGCTGACAGAAGGACCTCTGTTGATTTAGCAAATGTTAGATCTGACCCTGAAACCTGAAAAGTGTTGAAGAAGCAGGATCATGCAACTAATGATGGGTTCTAGTTACAATTCACATTCAGGTGTAGCTCTGCCCAGCTCTCCTCACAGCCAGGCACTGGGGTTAAACAGGAGACCTGGAAGAGTTATTTGCTGTGACTGTGTCAACAATCTGGTTCTCAGAACTTTGTCCTCCAGATCAAATTTTTTTAATATCTCACAGCTTTCTTGCCACCTTGAGCTGCACATTGATTGTCAAAGCCACTAACCACTCACTGCTCCACCTCTCAGCAGCCTTCTCCCTGGTTTTCATTCTGTGGATCCACTGGGCTACTGATGAGTTCAATAAATTCCCCTTGAAATCAGTGGCCAATACCCTCCCCTTCACTCTGAAGGCATGTTTGCCCTAATATGACGCCATCATTATAAAGAAGACTGGGCAGCCCTTTAAAAAATGGGATATATTAAGAAATTTTGCCCATTGAAATGCAAGGCCCTGGAGGCTGGCTCCAGTTAGGTTTCATTCTTAATTGAAAGTGTTTGGTTCCTGGGGTCAAAGCCAAACCTTGCATGGGACACTGGGACTCCAGGGTGTCTCAGTGAGGGGTTTGGCCCTGCAGCCCTGGGGCACAGGGAGCTGCTGGCAGCCAGGATGCCTCGAGCCTGGGCTGGCCAGGAGCGAGGGGCAGCCACTGTGCTCTGCATCCTGCTGCAAGCCCACAGGTGAGCTCGGGATCCTGAACTCTTTCACGCAGGCCATCAAAAAGCAACCCTTTTCTTTAGGTATAAAAGTATTTCCCAGCTTTCTTCCCCTGTCCCTGCCTTCTCTGCTCCCTGATTTGTAGCTAGAGTCACAGTGTTTATGGGACAGAGCATGAATATTAGGATATTGTGAGGGGCATCATCTGGGAGTGGGAAGAGCTGGATCATAGTCCAGGCTCCCAGGTCCTTTTATTTTGTTTGAAACTCTAGAAATCAATGTGAACTGAACATGCTTGGAGTTTTCTGCAGCATGGAGTCACTTGCTGCTCTGGGCATTCTACAGACACTGAGGTGTTGTATCCTGGTGCTGACAGTAACCTGTCACACAGATTTCTGAGGCTAAAATGAAATTAAATAATGTTTAATTTTGTGGGACCAATCTGAGACAGTTTGACCTTGATTTTTCAGAGATGTGACAAAGCTACTGCTCTTGCCAGCTTTTTGCAGGGGAGTGCAGGAATTCTGCTTTGTGCAGCTTCCACCTCCTGAATTTTTGAAATCAGGAAAAATGAAAAATGAGATGGCCAAGCCTGATGGCTGTTTTTCAAAAATTTTGGGGTGTTCCCATCTGTCATTTCCATCCTTATAAAACTGAGCATCCAGTTTCATTTGCTTTATGCCAGGTTAGGTACTCTACCTCAAAAAACAGCTGGGTCATATCTGTACCTCCCCCACCCAAAGGTGACCTGGTGACTCTCTCTTGTCTTTGATAGGCTTTGAACTCGATTCTGTAAATGCTACATCAGTGTGACAGAATCAATCTCTGGAGCTGGAGAATCTTCACCCTTTAAAACATTCTAACCCAGGCAAAACCCCATCCTGAACCTCTCACTGCTGTCAGTGAGGACGGTGTGAACAGGGTGACTGTCACAATGTGATGCAACAGAGCACTTGTGGGATTAACTCTGCATACATCACGTATTTCCACACATAATAGACACCTGCTCCAAAACTGCCAGCTCTCACCTTCTTTGCTTTGTCACTTGTGAGAGATGAACTCAGCAGCTGAAAATTAATTGCTGCACTTGCCCTGCCACCAGAGAAGAGGGAAACCCCTCGCTGAATGCATCCTTCCTAAGGATAATTTTTGTATGGAGTGGCATCTACTGGGAAGGGTGGGGGAACATTTTGCAAAATGGATCAGAAATACAAATTTCTGTCTAAGAGGGGAGTCTGTTTCAGTTAATGCTGATGTCAGTCCACAGTAACTCCCCTAAAGTCTGCAGATGTAATTCAGGCTAGCACCAATTTGAATGAAGACACACCTGAATCCAGTTTTCTGGAATTCCTCCTGATTGGGCCCAGCTCATTCTCAGTTCTCAGTGTTTCTAAAAGATGTATTTTTTCCTTTGGAATCAGCAGCTAAAAGTTTTAGCAGAACCCATATATGCTGGGTGACAGATCAGAACAAGAGTAAAAGACATCTAACTTTGTCATGAATCTCCCTACATACACTGGAATTTGGCCAGGAATTAGCAATCTGCCTCAGTAAAAAATGTCCCAGTAGCTTTCATTTGCTTGCCCAGTCAGTAACCTTGAACTAAAAGCTGGTTTTACATGCCTGCTTGTAACAGTAGGGGCCAATTTTATTTGGGTAACTTCATTGATTTCAAGGGAATTGTTTCTGATTTGTACTAGAATAAGTGGGAGCAGATTTAGGTTCTTTAATGTTCTTCCAGTTTAGCTCTTGGAATAACTTATATTTCATTATTATGTGTTTATGTAATTAGTGCAATTATATCAAATTATATAATTGGTACAATTACTTGGACTCATGTAACCACTGCATATAGCATTCCATGCTGTAAAATCTTTTACTCTGGGAAAAAAAAAAGAAAAAAAAAAGCAGTCAATATTACATGGGAATCTTAATTTGTTTTTAAATTCCAGTATCAAATTTAGGGCCTGACCACATGCAAGGAACTTCTGGTTCACATCAGTGGAATCTCTGAGCAGGCAGCTTGCAGCCTTCACCATAGATATTGCATTTTTAATCTGATTTGGCCAATTCTATTCAACAGAGGCCCTCCTGGAATGTGTGCAGCTCTAACCAGCCCTCCCTGTACAAAGCAGAGATGTCAAGTTTTTACACACACACACCATATGACCTGGGAGATCCCGAAGCCATCAGAGCCCTGAGATGTGTGTACAGCTTTTTTATACTTGATCAGGTTTACTGTCTTTGTGAGCTGCTGTTGAGAATTTTAAACTAGTACTTTATTCAATTCATAGACTCCCACGTTTTGGTCATTGAAACTGTTTTGCTTCCCTCCCCTTCAATAATTTGCTTTCAGGCTACTTTGCTGTGAGGGCTTGGAAGTAGAGGGCACTGCTGTATCTGTTGGGGACAGAGGGAGGTTATTCTGCCCCTGTACTCTGGTGAGACCCTTCCTGGAGTCTGCATCCAGCTCTGGGGCCCCCAGCATAAGAAGGACATGGACTTGTTGGAAGAGTCCAGAGAAGGGTCACAAAAATGGTCAGAGGGCTGGAGCACATCTCCTGTGAAGACAGACTGAGAGCACTGGGGCTGTTCAGGCTGCAGAAGAGAAGGTTTACAGTGCCTAAAAGGGCCTACAAGAGAGCTGGAGGGGAACTCTTTACAAGGGCATGTAGTGATAGCCAAGGAGTGATGGCTGTAAACTGAATGAGGATAAGCTTAGCTTAGCTGTAAGGCACAAATTCTTTACTCTGAGGGTGGTGAGGCACCAGAACAGGTTGCCCAGTGATGTTGTGGGTGTCTCATCTCTGGAAGTGTTCAAGGCCAGGTTGCTGGGACTTTGAGAAATCTGGTCTAGGGGAAGACATCCCTACCATATCAGGGGGGTTGGAACTAAATGATCTTTAAGGTCCCTTCCAAACCAAACCATTCTATGAGTTTATGAAAGTCAAAGTAAGCACATCCAGCAAAACAGGAAAAACAGGTAAGAAGGAAACTGATTTGATTTCCCTAGGTCAGACCAAGGAAGACCCAGGGTGAGAGCTATGATTGATAACCACCTGATGGACCTCTCCTCAGAAAAGGTCAGCCCTCCCAGGTGCTGGGCATTTGGAGATCTGTCCTGGCCCAAATGCAATCACTGAACCCAGCTGCCAGCGCACAGCCCCCAGGGGAGGCACTGCTCTACCTAAGAACATCTCCACAGAGTTTGTTGCTCTTTCTCATTTTGGACCTGCTTTTGGAGAGGGTTCACCTCTCTGTGTGCTCTCCTGCAGTCTGGCCTTTGAAATCAGGCTACAGCACAGCCATTTTAGGGCTGCAGCTTGTGCTGCCTCGCTGCCTTCCTCCAGCTGGTAAGTGTGCTCAGTGCCTGTTATTTTTATCTTGAGCTTTTGCTTTGTTTTTGAGGATAATTACACATTATTGCTGCAATATGTTATAATAAGTGCTATGAAGATGACTATTGTATCCAAGGGGAAAGAAGATGTGGCTGGGGAGCAAACTTAAACCTATGTGTCAGCAAAACAAACACGCAGTGTTTGGGCTGTGTCAGTCAAGTGGTACCAAAGTGGTGTTTAGGTTTTGCCCAAGTGGAGTGGAAGCTGCTGGACTGATCTCGCCCCTCTTCACTTTGTTGGCTGGAGTGGCTCGTGCCCATTTCCACAGAGGAGTTGGTGAGGAGCTGGGAAGAGCCGCAGCAGCCGTGCTGTCTGTCCTGCAGCAGCAGCCGTGCTGTCTGTCCTGCAGCAGCAGCCGTGCTGTCTGTCCTGCAGCAGCCGTGCTGTCCTGCAGCCACAGCTGAGCTCCTCACTCACTGATGGGGGAGCCCGTCCTGGGCAGTGCAGCAGGAGCCAGGTAGGAGAGTTGGATGCTGAAGGCAGTATCCATTTGAGGATAAAGAGTTATAAATAATACTGCATCTGGCTCCTGTGAGCTGAAGCAGACTGGGCTCTTGGACTTTTGGACCCCCCTGTGCCATATCCTATTCCCTATATCCTCTGTAATCTCATTTGGTCTCGTATGGCCTGGTTTTGGTTCAGGTTTTGGAACTGATCCTCAGCTGTTGGGACTCCAAGGTTATCAAATATACTTCAGGACTTTATAAATTAAGGCTATGGGCTCTTGTGAAAGGAAACAAACAATGTTATCTGTGTTAATGAGAGTTGTGTATGTGTATTTTGTATCCAATTGTATGCATTATCTTTAGCAGTGATACTTCATAAGACCATATAATTTATGAGGTGGTTATCAGTGACTCATAAGTATTTATTTATGTCTTATGTGCATTGTGTATGTTTGGCTTGAGCAGGGTGGCATGTTTGCATGGGTGAGCACCATTTCACCAGTAAACACACAGACAAGAAACAAAAAGCTTTATCTAAGCAAATTGTCTTCTGCCATGCTAATGCCCCTGTAATAAAATTTATTTTGGGGATCCTGATGAGAGATTGGAGTAAGGCAGTGTAGCTACTGACTGTTTTGAGTAGATTTCTTGTCTCCTGTGTGCCCCATCCTTGGTTTGCATTCAGTGTGTGGTGTGTAGGTGCCCTTGTGCTGGCTGGAGAGAGGCACCCTGTTCTCAGATGTGGCTCTGCTCCAGCCTGCTCCACATCCAAGAGAGTGCAGCAAACCACTTTTGCTCAACTCATGTTTTGAAATTGTTCAGAAACTGGTTTGGTCTTTAGCACAGTTTGGAGCAACCTGGAGGCTGCCTTTAGGACAGCTGCCAGGGGTCCCCAGTGTAAAAGCTGAGAAGGGGCTGGAATACCATAGGGCCCTGACCACAAGGCTTGTATTTGGCCATGCTTTCTATACTGGGAGATTTTGGGTGGCACTTGGATGGAGTGGAACCCATCTAAGTCTCTATGCTGAGTGTTTCTTATTAAGTACATGATAGGCACAGAGATGCAGGATTTAAACCAGCTCTGTTCCTCTTAGCCGTGCACCACAGTGGTTGAATCACTATGTTACCAGTGCGTGACAATGAATCAAGCCCTATATTTCATTTTATGGGTCGGTTCCACTTTGTTCTCATTTTCTCCTCCCCTCCTTTTGACAATTTAGACATGTGCATCTTGGAGAACATTGCTTCCAGACTGTATCCCCTTGAATGGGGTTACTGCATCAAGCAGGGAAAGTAATGCTGTGTTTAAGTTCTACCCTAAATGAAAGCTTTTTCTACTTTGCATGCCACAAATAGACTTTTAATTATGGGGAGCACATGCTGTAAGTGCACTCCAGGATTTGATTCCATCCTTTGTCTGTTAAGCTTGTGGATGTGCCAGCTCTTAGAGTAATCTTTTTTTTCAGCATCACCAGTTGCAATCCATAGTTAGCAGAAAAGCAACAAAAGGAATGGCAAATCAGTCATTGTGCTGATGGTCACCAGTTTGCTGTCTCTGGCAGATGTTCTCGAGGTGATATTGAATGTTAAAACAACATTTAGATGTGCTCTGTGATTTGCTGGGTTTAAAAATCTGTTGATGTTAATGTAGGGCTAGATTCAGTTCAAAATCCTACCAAATTGGAATTCCCCAGTCAATTACAGTCAAAAGCAGACTGCAAGACTGTACAGAGCAAAGCCTGTAGTACTTTTGGTGCAATATCAGAGCCTCAGCTGAAGGTGCTATTACTCCATGAGTTCTGTTCAGTTGCACCCATTTGCACCAGGTGTGAGTTTATCCTGTTGGCTTGAGGACAAACCCCTTGCTTTAGATCAGTCAGCAGTCAGGCTCCTGGTGCTCTGTGCACTTCTGTAGCTGGTGATAGCTATTGTTCTTTTCTGCAGTATGTTCACAGCATCAGGCATTATGACTCATGTCATAACACCATTGTGAGCCATTTGTTTAATAATACAGCATCCGTGTTGTGTCACTCCAGCAATGTTCCTAATTCTTTCTATTATTAACATCTGTTTTGAAGTGTTTATACTTGTAATTTAGCTTTTCAAATTCTCACTGGATATAAGCTGGTGCAAGAGGAAAGTTTTCATAAACACATCTAAAAGAATCTGACACTTCATTGGCCATATCTGATCAGAAAACCAAGCATATTTGTTTAGGCCTGTTTTTGGTTTGCAATAAATGGTAATGCAGGTCTCTTCAGCACCCAGAAAGGAAAATGTAGGTGCTACTTTTTTGTTGGTTTTGGGGTTTTTTTTAGTCCTGTGGGACTAGTTGGATTTTAATTGTTAATAGTATCTTTTAATTTGGCAAAGCAGATGCTGTAAAAAAGGTAGCTTACCTTTTTCCAGTTGGGCAAGTTACTAATTTGTTAGGGTGGTGACTTTTTGGGACAGGGCTGTATCTACATCCTATCTATAGATCTTTGAAGCTGTTTGTGCATCCCTGGCACTGCGCAGAATGTGAAGAACGTCCTTGGGTCCTTCCTTTCTATCTACTGGTAAGAGTGGAGTGAGATCCAGCAAATATTTGGGCAGCAGATCTTCTGTTGGAGCTGTTGGAGTAGAAATGCTTAGCCTATAAACAGTTTGGGGTCAGGGAACTTCTGAAAAGTTCTTTGTTGCTGTTGTTCTGTTGTTGTTTTGGTTGGTTTATTCTTCTGATTGGCTTAGCTTCTGGCGATGTTGTCATACAATGACAAGTCAGAGGTGTCTTTCTGGAACATAAATGTAGATCTATTCTGCTGGGATGTCTGCAGTGACCCTTTATTGGGGCTCTGAGTAAATCTTGCCATAATTGATAGAAACAGCTTTAAAAGAAAAGCAAAACAGATCATGAAGAAAAGAAAGAGCTGATAAAGCTTCTAGCATCAAGAGTGTGCATGTTGAAACACTCTCTAATTATATATTTATCCAATCCAGTTAATACTACAGAGCTTGCAAAAAAAGCCCCATAATTAGGGGTTATGAAAATGTCTACATAGCAATAATATGGCACCTAAATATAGCATCTTTCCTCCTGAAGCACTTTACATCATTTGAGAACCATGGACTCAATTCACAGCTGGCATTCACAGGTGCAACCTTATTGATTTCAATGGAATAGTGCCATTTTTACCAGGGATGAATTTTGTTATAAATGGGAGTTTTATCTTAGGGGCTTCCAGGGCTGCCCATCACAATAGTATCTGCATATCTTTTACATCAAATTGGCTGGCACTAGCAAAACCTTTAGCAGACTTCACAAAGTCTCTGCCACATTTGCCTTCTTATCCTGCAGAAATCTTTTCTTGGGCTAAACTCTCATATTTTTTTGTCTTTTGGAGACTGTGAGAGAAGAACAGCTGATGGTAGTGAAGACGTGCAATGCTCTTTTGGTGGGTAATGTGACAGTGGGTTTCTTTCAATGTTTCTGCTGGAAGCTGAATTCACAGTTGTAGTTTCTGGATTGAGAATATCAAGACTTTGGGACTTGTGTTGCTCAGAGCACCTCTAGAGCTCAAACATCCTGTAGCAGGACCTGAATGATGTATTAATCATGGTACCCATCACTGACAAAGTGACTGCTGCATACAATTTTAAAAAATCCTAAGTAAACTTTGTCCAATATCTGGTGAAGTCACTGGGAGTAAGGCTCAATGCTCTGCATTCCCCAGTGTCAGAACAGGCCCTGAAGATTTTGGTCTACTTCTCTTCCACTTTGCAGATTACCTATAAAAGTAATGACAAACCTGCCACCTACATTCTTCTAACATGGGAAAGACAGTGTTTCCTGAGTATGAAGTAAAAAGGGTGTATTGGGAGCTCAGAAGCACAGAAAAATAGTTGGCTTGTACTTCAGTTGTATTTGCCACAACCTTCCACGTGAGGAAAATTTGATTAGGCTGAAACTCGTCAGCCTGAAGATGAGATGTTGGTGGGGTAGGAGTGAATCCTTCAAGTCAGAAGGTGGGCAGGGATTGTTTGTTCTGTGGCAGTGTATCAATTAAAGTCATTACATGAAACTAGAATCAGCCAGGCTCAAAGCAAACAAAAAGAGATGTTCTCCATGCAACTGGTAGTGGACACAAGGAATTCACTGCCAAAGGTGGTTGTGGAGGCTAAAAGCTTATTAGAGTTCAAAGGATGACTGGACAAGTTTGTGTAAAGAAATGCACAGAGGATTACTAAGTAGCTAGAAACCACATCTGGCTTAGGAAATACCTTGATCTGAAAATAGCTGGAGGCTAGCAGAAATGTGAGGGAAATAGCATAAGTGGTTCCCTGGCTTCTGCTGCTTTCTGGCTTGCTCCAGGAGCCAGCAATAGGAGACTTGATGCTGGGCTAGATGGACTGGTATGGCCATTCTTCTGTTTGTACTTGATGTGACAGCTCTGCCCTGCAGGTTGTTGCAGCAGGCACATGTGGGTCAGTGCTCTTAGAGGTGTTGTGTGCTCCAGTTCTCCTCCATTT